CAACCCCCACCCCCCCCCCTCCCCCGAAAAAACCCCCCGCCCCAAACCTTCTCTCCGCAATCAATTCACGCACACCCTCGCATACCTTACAGAAATCGGCAATACGTGGAGGGTTACAGTTAGTAGGCCACATTGTCCTTTTTGAAATAGTATTGCGCATGTACATCCAGTGGTGTTTACAGCTCAGTTGGCTAATGTTGTAAACATCCAGTTCTCATTCTTAGGTCAGTGACTATCAAAACTTTTCAAGAAAATGTAGACGAAAAACACATGATTTTTTCTCGATTTCCTTGCCCCCAAACGATCATGCAACGAGATCATACACACGCCTATATACCCTGGCCTTACAGGAAGGCACTGCAACGCTTCTAATAAACAAAACCACACGCTGCAGGCCGGAAAATACATTTCTATATATAGGCGAAGTATTAATACGACCGCTACACGACCTACGTGCGAACGCCTGCCGAGTGCTGCCCGACCAAACAACGAGCGCGAAAATTTAAATTTTCACCCAACCACTGCCTATATAGATCCCTTTCTACACTACTCTCCGAGGACAGTTAAGTGCAGCAAAAGTCGCTTAGTTTAGCTTATTTTATTTTACAATCACACAGTTGATTTTAATTTAAAACAATATAGCAAAAAAACAACAGTTATTTTAGTAACTACAACGCTCTTCCGATGGAAAATTCTGTGGAAGAGATGATGGTTAAGTATGTTTGTGCCGTGTGCGAGTTTCTCGTCGAAGCGATACGCTCTCAGCACGAGCATACCGTAACAACACAGTTGGGAGATTGGCTCGCCGAATTTTACCGCTCCCTATTCACCCAGCGTGATGGTAGGTAACTTTCTTCAAAACCAAACTAATTGTATAAAGTGCATGAAGAGAACTCACAATATTAATAATTATAAGGTGGCTCGATACGGAAAGATCAACGTATGAATTAATAAATAGAACTCATATGAGAATTTGAAGAATTTTGCTGAATCAAAATAGTTTTATCGAAAACTTTTCATGTCAAGACATCTTAATTGAAGGTGACGTCCACTCCTGTGCACATGCGCGAACTTTGTTCACGTTTTGAACTGCTATATTTGTAAAAACGAACTGAATATCTAACACTTTTCTGGTTCGCCATACTTGTAAATGAACATAAATTATAAAGATGCTAAATTTGGGCACAATATTTATAATGTTAATGATGTTATAAGCAGAACAGATGCGCAGGACGGAGTGGACATCATCTTTAATTATACAACCAAACTAGCATGCATAATGACGTCACAAGGCTGGATGTCCGCGAGGAATGCTGGTCTCAGTAGTAAAAAAATTAAACAATTCAAAATGGCCACTATCGAAGTTTTCCCAGCCGATGACATTTTCCCAGCGTTCCGCGCGGGCAGCAAGCCTTGTGACGTCATTATGCACAAGATCGATTGCGTAAAACCATGGATAACAAAATAAATGGATAGGACTCTAGCTGACGTAAGCAAAGACAATCTAGTTGCAATCTGTGACGTCGCACATATTGCAAAGTTCTCGGCATTTTTGTTGTTTCGCTACACTAATTGTCTTAAAAACATGCCTAAGCCACGACAAAGTATTCAAGGTGAATGTTTTTCGTCTTTGCTTTTTGTAGTGCTTCAAATATTTGCTAAAATTGACTGGGAATACTTAGAGATTTCATCGTAGAATGGCGTAGTTATATTAACTTGCTCTTTGACTAAAATGTTTAGCTGTATTATTGCTAAACATGCCGTTTTTGAGAATTTGGTTTGCAACTAGGTTTCAACATCCAATCACGCCCATCAGCCCGTTGGAAACATTAGATCACGTCAGCTAGTTTCCTATCCATTTATTTTATTATCCAAGGTAAGACTAATTATCTACTCGCAGGAATCCTACCGGTTCAACAGATCCGGCCGGATCTACAGGCAGGTGTGCCAGCGAATGGCAACAGAAGGTCAGGTACAACAACGACCCAAAACACCACCGCCACCACTACCACTACAGCCACCGACAATCCTACGGCACCAAAACGACGACGTGTCAGGACAGGCAGGGGTGCGCCAGGGATAGCATGGAAACGCGTTGTCACTGAGCGCCAAAAACGTCGCAGGCGCCAAAAAGGAATGGCGAATGCACCACCACTGGCGCCATCGCCACCAACACTACCACCAGCACCACCTCCTACCCAACCACAAACACTACCACCACCGCCACGTGCACAGACACCACCACCTACGGGGGAACCTTCCCGAAAGACACCACGGGCACAGGTCAGTTAATTACATTACATTGAACTTCAAATATATAACAAATGTGTCTTGTTACACATTTAATTAAGGTGGCTCGATACACTTAATTTTCAAAAATGCCGGTAACTTTCACGTGTTCAAACAAATAGATTTTAGTAGCAGTTTGTTCGTTCAAAATGGTCTTGTATTGTTGGAAAATAGACATGGTGGTCACCCACAAGTTTTAATATTTTCATGCTTTATTTTACTTGGAATATAACAAAAATTCTGTAGTGCCTACACATTTTGCCATTGCAGAAGGGTTTCTTTTTAAAATTCTATGCAGAATGAAAGTCCTTTGGCGTTGCCATGCAAAATATGAACGTATAGGTCAGCAGACAGAATTTTGATTACTGTACCGAGTCACCTTAAGAAATTGTGCTGTGCCGTGAAACTATTTATAGAACGTTTCAAACTAGTCAAATGGCGCGAATATCTTTAATTGCACGCAGGACACCAAAATATAATGTTTCTATCGCTTCTATCTAAATGTGTACCTAGGTCCTTGATGAATTCAACAAGAAGAAGCGGATCAAGAACTTCAAGGAGCTCGCCGGCGTTACGGACAAGGAAGGTTACGATCCCCATGAGCTACTTTTGTGGAAGAAAGATCTCCGCGGGTGGCAACTGCTTGAAGAATCTTTTGAGGACCCGTTGCGGGATAAATGGCGTGCACTTCGATCGATGCCGAAGATTGCAAGCGACCCACAGCTGATTGATGCTTTCTTCGAGCTCGCCAGCCTAGCCAATGGCTTCGCGAACCAAGCGGCCCATATAAACGGCTACTTGGTGCAGGAGGTCCTTCAAGTTGGAGATCAAAATGGCTTTGCACCGGAGCAAGTGCTCGACGACCTCGTCGCATCGCTGGATGCAAAGTCATATGCGATGTACCGCCGCCACTTGGAGGAATGCAAATGTGGAGCTTGCGAGGCCGTCCTCCAGTATGATGATGACTGCGGGCAGGGGGAAGTCGAGGGAAGACCGTCGCACTGCGTACGAGTTGAGCCGTGGGTGCAGATGGTGAGGAAGTTCTCCCGGGGACTGTCGGGAACGACGCTCAGAAACTGCGAGTACTTCTTCGCCTCTACACCGAAGATGTCCCCTCCTACGCTGTCATTGGCCATACCAACTGATGTCCAGGCTTGCACCAGGTGATACATGAAACGGTATTTGCAAGGGTTGCCAGCGGATTACGAGGACTACCCAGAGCAGTGGCGCAGATGCACTCCGTTTAAGCATATACGTGCCGAGATGGCCAAGGTGTCCCGCGATCTTGTCGCAATGCTGGATGGTGACTCTGGCCATTTGGTCATAGACAAGGAGACGGATGAGGCACTACTAGCACACGTCACACACAGGTATCGGCAGCACAACACCATCCGCTTTCGCATGATGGGAAACGACGTGCCGGAACGTGCGACAGCCTTCCGGTTGTATGGCGAGCACGTTGGCACATCCACCAGATGACAGGTTCTTCAAACATACCACTCGGGAGTTGAGAGCATGCGTTGCGCGCGGCGCATACTCGCAAATAGTCACCGCGTGTTCTTCCGTATTCCCATGGATGAGTCTGGCCTCCCGGCGCACAACCTTGACAAGTATGATTGTCTATTGGTCGATATATACGAAAAGGAAAACGATGGTGATGAATGTATCTTGCTGGCGGAACGCATTGCCGAAAGAGGGTCATACGTTTCCCATCCTGGACGGAGGACTTGACAAAGATGTGTTCGACGCAATGGTTCGGGCGAAACAGGCACGTTCTGGTTCTTTCCAGCTTCCAGGTGAAACCAGACAGTTCCCATTTAGACCATGGGACACACACGATGAGAGCAGCACATCTACGCAGGAACATCCGGTCGACGACGATCACATCACATCATTCGTAGTGCTGAAATCTCCTCTGGCGAACAAAGGTCTTGTATACACGGCACCCTCCACTATCCCAAATGCAGGCACGGGCTTATTCTTGCGTCCAAGGCGAACTAGTCTACTGGCAGGAAGTTATCTTTGTAAATATGCAACGTCCTATACAGCAGAACGACCCACTTCCGAAGCTGGTAAGTCTGTTGTGATCACTAAACCCATATAGCTAAGATAGTCTACGATAATAGAAATTGAAATATAGGGACGTCTTCAATAACTTTAAGGCGGCTCGGCTTTACGTCATTGTTATTGAATATTGAGTATTGTGTCTATTGAGTATTGACTGATTTTATATATCGGCATCGTGATTTTTAGAGTACAGTAAATCGTCAATATATACAACTGTCTCTACTGTATTTTCTTCGAGAAAAGAAAATTCAACCGCAACGCAAAACAACATTGAATTATTAAAGTATACTATGACGTATATAGATAGTAGCGCTATATAATTATGATATTACAGCACTGGAGATGCCATGTAGCCTATCACTGTCTCTGTTTCATAGCTGGTCTAAATTGTATTGGTAGCAATAGCTAAATTTTTGCCCTCGAGAAAGAGCAATATTGCTGATGTGACTGCTCTCATATTCCAGGCATCACACTGTCGTTATTTTGAGGGAAGTGTGAACGCCTGAGCATGCGTCTTGTTCCATTGAAAAGCACAAAGGCGTCAAAGGTTGACCAAACTCTGGGTACGAGGTTGGGTGGAAATTAAGTTCAAACTCAGTTGAAACAGAATTATAGCTAGATTATATAGTAATAGTATATTATTGGTAAACAAACATAATATATGATATATAGTGCCAAATGGCAAATGTGTGTAAAAACTGACTTTCGAGTTATTATTTTAAATTAAAATGCTCCCAAATCATCCATCTACACAGTGTGGAAATTTATAATTACTATTTCTTGCATATATGGGCTCTCTTTCTAAGCCTCTGCTCAGTTATACGTTATGTAGTTCAAACCACTACTGGATTTTAACGAAAGGAATTATAAAATTAGGTTAGGATGAAAATGCATTCCCAAATATACAATGAGTACTCTAAAATTGATTGCGCTTAAACTTTGAACTTTGAGTCGATTCGAAGATCAAATTCACAGTGAAATATAACTCTATTGGATTACAAACAGAAAATATATCGTTCTGGCAAATGTTAGCCTATGCCAGAATTTTATACCAGATCGAATTTTAAAATTTTTTGCTTGGTTTTAAACGAAATCTGAAGCAAACTTTTACTTACGATACCGGTAATTGACAAGCGCGCAAACATGATATGATATTGCATACGGACCAGCTGTAGTGCGCTTGGCGACTCGTTCTTTTATAATTCGCCAGCTTCTGTTTCTGTTACTGCTAAACGTCGAATTGTCACTACTTGAACGAATCTGGCAACATATTCCTTTGACCATTGTCAATTAGAAAAATATAAAATACACGTGCTTGCGCCGTTGAATACTGTTTGCCATAAGTTCATAACGTCTCACTTTAACCACTTTAACCTACACTACATATATCGTAATATCGATTGCAACATCAAATCCATCTTTGTAGTGTTAAATCGTGTTATTTAATTCTTGCGATGCCCCGCGCAATTCTTGATCATCCGAGGTAGTTAAATTTTCATTTTGCCCGCGGTTTATCTGAAAATGTTACAGTAGCTTTGGAACATTGCTTTGTTAAGACTTTGAAACAAGTGATCTCTTTCAGGTGTATTTGGTCTATTTTACCGGCTTAACAGAATTATGATTGGTTACATGTTTTGATGCCATCAAAGATATATTTCGATTGGCTGAAAGATAATTGGTCATGAGATGTGCACGTGTACGCTTTTCCAATACAAAGATGACCTTTGATACAAATGACAGCTGCGGGTCTGTGACCTTTGTACCACACGCAAAATATTCAAATTGATTGTCATATAAATTAGACTAAATTTGTGGACAGTATTGCCCATTAACTTAAATTTATAATATATATAAATTAGCTACAAATCTGTCAGTATGTTGCACATGTTACATAAAATATTCACGCAGCCTTTCATACGTAGACTCACAAGTCAAAGCAAGCAAGTCTTGCTTTTCACTTGCCAGGATGCCGTTATTAATTTGAATGATCATAGACGGTTACAGTGTCAGCATATTAAACCGTTGCATGCAACAACTGGTTACAACATAACTTTGATATTTCCTCAACAGTACAACTTTTGTTGTAAACCGGTTGCATACCACAGTTTTACGCAAAAGTTGTGTGATATAAATATAGGCCTCAATTAATAAACAAAAGTTTGTAGTACAATTTTTCACTGCGGCTGTCAGTTCAACAATAAACCGTTGCCTGACAACGAGACAACAAAAATTCTTATTTGTTGACAGGTAGCTATATACGATGACCACGGCAGATACTTACCATGCCATATGTCAGAACGAGGAAGTAAATTGCCACGCTATTTCCTGGATGAAGCTGCATACATACTCTGGTCCACAAATTATCCCCACTTGACACTCTTCAGTGTAGTGTATATAAATTAGGTAAGCGTTCTCGATATATACAGTGATATTATCCTCGTTGTTCCAGCCATTGTTTCCCCTTGTGGAAGAGAATGACTATAAGAGTGATTTTATATACATATATATATATATATATATATATATATACATATATATATATATATATATATACATATATATATATATATATATACATATATATGATATGTTAGACTCGATCATATATAAGAACAGATAAACAGAATACGGATTGGAACAAACAACCAGTTCCGGGATGGCTTTTTCATTTATTAATTATTGCACAATAAAAGACAATTTAATAAGAAGATTTTGGATCTTACAAAGTTAACTCTTTCTCGACAACTGGTTTCGTATTACATTTCGATACAATTTTTCTAATATAAATATCTCGGCGAGTATTTACCCCCCTATTAAATAAATGCCACCATTGAAATCCTCACAATATAACCTTTCGAACGGGGGGTCAAGTGCCGTCAAAACATTACACAAACCGAAACAATCATATATTATACTCACAGCTTCGCCAAACATTCAAACGGGAAAAAGAGAAAAAGTTGAATATATTCTAAAATTTGGCGTCATTTTCTGAAAGGATATATGTGCAAAATACTCTTTGTATTCAAGCGCTTTAGTGTAGAAAGTTTCGTATGAATACGGCGAGTAGAAATATTTATTTTGAATTTTTCAAGGTATCGGGTTTTACTCGCACGCACTTGTATTACGTAATACTTGGCCAATAAGGAGCTCCCTTTAGCCGGGATGACGTCAAACTCACGCGTATGGGTGCACTTTGACCTGTAGAATCCATTTCTGGCATTTCCAGAGTCACGCGATACAAACTACGCATTGTTTTGACGAAAACTCGTATTTTAAAGATAGAAGCTTGAAAATAACAGTATACATGTTATTTTTAACTGCTTCATTCAGCAAGACTACCAGAATGAGCATACGTCTCAAGGGGCCGAAGTTATGTTCGGCGAAAGGTATGTCTATGTTTATAATTTGTTAGTAATATTGTGTAATTTGATCAAATACCAAGCTCGCTTGACTTTCAAAGCTCATAAGTCGCTACAATTTAGCCACTGACTAAAACTATCGTTATAAATTAGTGTATATTTTTATACTGAATCGAATGGTAGTATTTTCATTTACATAGCGTGCACTGAACCAAAGATATGAACGAAGTACATCCGTAGAATGTGCACATTCTACTCGTAATGGCCCCTGCTGAGGAGTTAAGAGAATTTCAACAACTACATTGTAACCAAAGTGTGTGTGTATCTGTAGTATTAAAAATTGTTCGAATGTTTTTTAAACAAGCAAAAATACTAAATAGAAGTGTTATATTTTTTGAAAAAGACAATAAATAAAAGACAAATTATTAAAAGACGTATTGCCATCGCTGATTTGCAAGAACATACCTTGGGCTTGAATGAAGAAATTGGACCAAAGTCTTGGTATTTTTAGGCGTAATAGGGAAATAGTGTTCTGTTTCTTCGTTGCCATTTACACATAAAAGTTGTGTATAACTTAATTAGCTTGAATTAAGCAAGTTTTTTGAAGATATAATGGGAAACTTTTATTTAAATGACGAGCACGTGTTATTAAAAGGCGACCGTCGAAACATCCGCTGACCTGTTGTAAACTGCTCATATTCCAGTGATCTCGATATATATATCTGGAGCAATGTGCAAACCGGAAACGATATCAACTGAAACAGCCGAATCTGATTGGTCACTCTTAGGTCCGCAGCTCGGCTGAGGACTTAGTTCAGTTGATAGATCGCTGATTATCTATTGCGGGCGCTTGTGCAAATGTACTGCTATGTACCTAAGTGTACATCGTTCAAACGGCTAATATTATCCCATTCTATCCATTATTTGATACGTTGTTTCGCAATTCGCATGGAATGGCTTTTTAAAATTGGTATTTGGAATGATTGTGAGCTAATTAATAATATATTGTAGCTGTCGCGTCGATTTTATACAGTATCTTCTGGTAAGAATCATTATAATATATATTATATTACTGAGCAGCTGTGGTTTTATTAAAATGAGCTATTTCAATACATTTAAAACCCAAAGCCCCCCTATCGAGGACCGCTGCTTTTGGGTATTTTTATCCCGGAAAAATTACTAGTTAGGAACTGTGTTATTTAGGCGGCGGGACTTTGTGGGGTTGGGTAGTCATTATATAAGATTTTAGTTATGGGGTTGCCTAGAAAAATATTGACGGAAATATGGGAGGGAGTTGGGTGTGGTAGTGGGGGGGGGGGGGCAAGATTTAACAATTAAAAATGGCCACTATTAAAATTTCCCAGCACTCCTCGCAAGCATCAAGCCTTGTGCCGTCATTGTGAATGAGTGTATAGAAATTTGATTGGTCTACCCGCATTTATAGGGTGCAGCTAAGTAAAAACAGATTGGTTTTTGTATTTGGATCATGTTTTAAACATAATCCAAAGACTAGAACATTAATATATAGGATGATTGAGCCGTCATGTCATTGCCAAAAATATAGTTTGATTCTTTGTAGGCTTTGATTTAGCAAGATTTGCTTGCAATATACACGACCTAGAGACTATTAACCAAATGAACCCGCCTGCCCCCCCCCCCCACCAAATATGAGTTTATGAATGCTCTCTAACCCCATTCCCTCTTGGAAATTGAGGTTTTCTACAGGGGGCTTGGGCACTAAATGTAATAACGACTGTAATAGCACCCATCTTGGACAAAGACACTCAACTTCAAGAGTAAAATCGTCAGGCAAATGGAACAGCAAAGCATACTCGCGTTGTTCTTTAATTTACAAGGCTATTATCAGTATCTACACTAACAAAGGCAACGTACACATGAGTTTTTGGAAGTTCCTTTTTCATTTAAAATCTTCAGACAATAACATTCGCACATTGAATGATGCAGGATAACAGATACTTTATAATTCAGCACTGCTAACAACAATTGAATGTCTACAAATTAAGGTAACATATAACAAGCAGTACGTTCAACGTAAAGAAGGTATATCAGTGAAAGCACGTGCGTAGTCATCGCATCCTAACTTCACTTTTTCTTCCCAACTCAAATCGTATCTGAGGCATCCCGGGGCTCTAACCAAATTTAAAGACCGTTGCCATGGACAGATTTGTAGACAAGCTTGTTTTGTCGTTCGTAGTTCGTATGCGTTTTCGGATGAATTATAGACAATGTCGACAGGATATACTAATGATTTACAGCTTTCCTTCCAAATGTCCCCTGGCCGAAACGCGTACAAGTTGTTTGAATCGCGTCGTTTTCCCAAATGCATTAAATACACCTCGGTCCGGTCCGCTGAAAATCTCGCAACTTTTGCTACAAAAATCCGAATGTCTTGTGGTGTTGAAATCGGATCTAACAGGCAACATATGTCATTTATACGAATGGGAAGTTCTACGCTGGTTTCGTCATCCGAATCGCAAACTTTTGCCTCACGGGAAATACACTCCTCTTCCTCTGAAAAAACACCGTTTGAAATGTTCTCGTGCATAAATTTTCGCCCTAATTTTGTCCGCTCTTCATGGGACCTGTTGTCGTAAATTGTCTTTTGATAGCGTACCGAATGTTTCATTAAAGTCGCCAAACTCTCCCTCAAACTTTCGTCTTTTGATTCGTCAAGCGAATTGAAATAGGTCAAAATTGCATGTTGCAATGCTGTCGTCCCGGCCCTAATCGAAACTTCGCTTTGGAAAATGTCGCTAACATATTTTGAAAACGGACCGCTAGACGAAAATGCTTCCCCTTTGTAGGATACGAAAATGTAGTTGCGACTCTTTCCTACAAGCAACGAAATTCGTTTCTTTAAATACAATTTCAAGTAATACGCAAGCATTTCATCGCTATCAATTGTTGAAGTGGCCGCTCCGTACTTATCTGCAGTCTTGTAGTCAGTTTGAAACATAGTGATAGAACCGTTCACGGCGAAATTAATAACGTTCTTTCCGTATGCAGATTGCTTATCGAACTCACCCTGCCGCCCTTCGTCATGTATTTGTAAGGTTCGTAATTCTTTTGATCTGCCAGGCATAACGGTCACGAATAAAGAAATTATCAAAAAATCATGCAGGTGTCTAACCTGTTGAGGGCCTGAACATTCTTCGAACTTGCAACGCAAGCTTTTTAGTGCGTCCAAGATGTTCGCGTGGTAAAACGTGCGCGCTTGTTTCGACATACCTTCTTTACGTTTATGAGACAAGAGTCGGTTCTCTCGCTCCAGTTGACTCTGTAAGCGCCGTAGAAAGATTATCTCTGGCAAAGTACTGTGATCGATGCTTGTTTTACCATAATTAAATTTTACAATGCTAACAAGGACACTTATTATTCTACTTAACGTGGAAGGTTTTAACTTCCGATTGTCCTTTAAGAAGGTGATGTACTGTAGAACTAAATCTGTATCGTTGCACAAGCGAAGCGTTAGCTGCTTCTCCGATTTGTGCACATAACAAACGTAATAAAGAAAACAGCGGCATCATTTGTCCATCTTTTCAATCATTGAAGTTGCTAATGGCATGCCATCACGATTTGGATTTAATGGTTTTCGGTAAAACTCAATCAAATTTTTTACCTCTGCTTTCAATTCTGGCGACATGTCTTTATCTTGCAATCGATATGCAGACCCCCTCTGCAATAGGCTTCTCTCCGAAACCTGAGTTGTGTCTTCAACATCTAGCAAGCAAGCAAACAATGAACAATTAACGTATGCTGTCAAGCATGCACTGAAAGCTTGAAAGGAATGATATGTCCTCTTCAAGGAAATAACTTACACATCTTAACGTTTCTAGGGATACTGGTGAAGGGGTAGGGAACATACCCCATCATGCTGCCTGTTTCCACCAGGACTGCAGATTAGACTATTGCCTGCTACAAGCTAAATGGAAGTGGCTGTGATGAAAAAACGTAAGTGCATGCGTGTGTGTGTCCCACCTAAAGGAGCTGTCAATTGCTGTAATTCACAGGGACTGTATATTGTACAATCGACTGTTAATATACGTAATTTACTACATTTTACGTGTGTGCGACATCAAGTAATGAGCCATTTACTTACTCGTATGGGACGGTTGTCGCAATGTAGTTGAATTGTTGGAAGATACCTTGTGCAAAAGATCGTCTGTCTCTTCATTGTGGACTATACGTAGAAAAAAAGAATAAATTCAGCACTGCAGTGAAATAGAGATTCAAGCTATGACTTCATTTCGCATCCACTCTCGAGACGTTTGAGATTCAAGCTATTTAGACAAACTTACCTAATGGAGTTGTCGGTTGCTGTAATTCACGATGACCACGCGAGGTAGCATCTGATAAAAAATGAATAATGTACAATCAATTTCTATACGTACTTTACATTTTACACGTGGCTTCAAATAACAAGTCATTTACTTACGTGTATGCACTCCAGCTGAATTGTTTGAAGATTCCTCGTGTGAACGATGGTCTGTCTCTCCAATGTCGCCTACAGCAGACAAAAAGATTAAGCTGAGTATTGCTGTAAAATGGAGTATTACAGTACGCACTTGCAATCTGGCATCAGAAATGAAGATTCGAGCTGTTTACTTACCTAAAACTTGCCAAACATCTGAGCTAAGATCGTGGGACTTGTCACTTTTGCACGGACTATGTTCCAAATCTAATAAAAAAATAGGTCTTTGTTAAATCCAGTATAGGGCACAGCCAGTGTTTCAATCCAGGTTTCTTTCAAGTCAAACATTTCCAATTGCCAGTGCTCGTTCAAAGGAACTGTGCTGAATGAACCTCCTAGTAGATTGTAATAATTGAAGGAATAGTAAAGTTATTACCTGTGAACGACGGATATTTACGTTTCTTTAGAGGTGGTTCAGAGGTGGCCGCGCACTCGTCCTCAGATGTGGCGTCAGAATATTCTGCAACCAGCAAAACAGACTTTGCATCTAATTAAGAATGACAGGAGGTTTGGATACAATTCAACAGGCGAACTGCATTGTAAGTACATATTGGTTGAAACAACCCACACGGAATCGGTGTTCTGAAATTAAATTTCGTAATTTTTACATCAGCAGCGAAAGTTGTAAAATGCGTACCTTTTACAGGAGTGGACGTTGAGAAACGTTGTTTCGTCTTTAGTTCCTTTCTGTCCTTTGGTGAGATCCCTTTCTTCAAGCAAACCAAACGCCCCGGATAAGTTCGGAATTACTAATTTCAGGTAATCTCTTCAGGATAAGCAGGGACGGACGAAATATTGATATCTTTCATCCAGGATCTCGGCGTATTTTTTGGAATTTTCGGGAAAATAACATCTTTTATTTGCACAAAACAAAAAAATGTTTTATATCCGCGTACTGATGGGGTCAGCTGGTCCATTTTATGACTACAAAGAGAGCAATAAAACAAGTTTTAAAACAGAACAATTTGTCTCAAGGAAGAATTAAAACCCTAACCCTAACCAACGACCAAACGCACAAATTTGCGCATCAGAATATCTGTTCTCAGCTGCATGTGAAGCGGCGCCAATTCTAAATGAATGAGATTTGTATTTTGAAGTGTCCAGACCACAATGCCGGAAAGCCCTCTGAAGTTGAGTAGCAACTGCATCACATGATACTGGATTACCTTGGTGTGAAATAATAATAGCACCAGGCCGACTCCCATACAAAACCAGATAATCACTTAATAACTGCACTGGGCAGATCATAGATTGACGATAAATTTCCAAACTAAAAGGCTGTTGGTTGTAATTATGTTTAAAATTTTCAAAGGTTAACTTTATGCCTGTGATCTGGTTATTCGTATCATATATATGTGAGAGTTGATGCATTTGAAGGGGTTGGTTATTTGATGTTGTCATAGTAAGTTCTCCAATCCGCTGAAAAGCAAAAAATGCCAAAGAGCACATAGCTTTAAATTGACAAATCTGGTACTGAGAGCCAGCAATGTGAGGCAACGCCCCTATAATGCGGTTGAGAATTGACAGTGTTATTGGCAACCGACTATCTAAGCGGAAGCCTGTTTTACCATACCCCTTAAGTATTTGAATGATGTAAAAAAACTCTTGTAGGATCAGGAAAACCTGACAATCTATGAGAATAACCAATCGCAGACACATATGTATTTACTGTGGATGGCGCATACTTGAGATCAAACAAGTAAGCGATAAATAATGTGATGACTGAAGGTGATATAGGCAAAGCTACTAAGCCGTTATTAAAAATTTTGATATGGAATTGCGTGAAAAGTGTCCAAGCCCGTTTATATGTTGGTATGGACGACAGTTGAAGACTGGACTGAGCCAAATCAGAAACTATATTGGCCAATTTCCAGGCAGCAGGTGAGAGGGAATGGGCGTTGGAAAACGATGCGTATGTGCCGGTGCCAATTGTAGAAATTTTTGGACCTGAAATCGAGATAAACTGTCAGCCAGGACATTGCGACTACCGGCGATATGTTTTGCTTTAAATAAAATTTTTTTTGCAGACAAACGAGCACCATTGTGCGAACAAAGGTCATAAGGTCAGAATCTTTTGATGTTTGCTTATTGATAACAGAAACCAGAGATTCATTATCCGTAAAAAAGAGAACACATTGATTTTTCATTCTGACCCCACAAACATCAGCTGAGTACGATGGGATAAAATTCTAGCACGGCAATACTATATTTCAACCAATTTTCCGGCCATTTCCCATAACACCATTCATGTCCAAATAAGGCGCCAAAACCAATGGCACCAGATGCATCTATATAAATTAAGCTTATGGTTGTTACTCCAGGTATCATCCAAGAATAAAGATCTTCCGTTAAAAGAAGATAAAAAAGTCTGCCAAATGCGAAGATCGCCTTTCACATTACGATTTAGCCGGATGAAAAAATGCGGCTGTGAAATTCCGCGTGTTAAATCGATTAATCATCTTAAAAAGACGCGACCTGGCGTAACAACCGAACATGCAAAATTAAGTAAGCCTATTAAAGACTGAAGTTCTTATAGAGTAACCTTTTTATGAGTCAAAAGCTGGCAATGCATTGGATGCACTTTTCAATTTTGTCTTTAGGCAAGCGAGCTTCCCATTTAAGTGAATCCAACTCAATACCAGCGAATGTGAGAGTGCTCGATGGGCCAAATGTTTTGTCTGGTGCAATGGGAATGCCCAGAAAATCGCAGAGAATAATAAATAAATCTAAATGTGCTTTACATACAAAATAAGTAGATGATATAATCAGAAAATCATCAAGTAAATGAAGTAGTTTGTCGATAAGCAGCTTTTCTTGAGCAATCCATTCAACCGCTGTACTGAAGGTTTCATAAGTGTGACACAAGCTCGAGCAGCCAATGGGCATAGCACGGTCGTAGTAATAAAAATTTGCGCCATTTTATGCCTAAAAGATGATAATCTGCCGGATTGATAGGTATAATTCGAAACACATTTTTGATGTCAGTTTTGGACAAAAAAAACAACCCGGACCAGCTTGTTTTATAAGTCGAATGGCATCGTCAACAGTGGCATACCGAACCGACGTTTCAATGTCCGGTATACCATCATTGACTGATGTACCGTTCGGAAAGGACAAATGATGACTCGTGCGAAAATCGCCTGGTTGTTTTTTAGGAACCAGGCCTAATGGTGACACACCCAAATACTTAAGTGGCGGCGAAATAAAGGGACCAGCAAGCCGACCTGCCTCTAAGTCCTTGTTTAATTTTGAATCAACTGCCTTAGGATTGTCCAAAGCTGATCGCAAATTGCGGGCTTCAAATGATCGTTCAGCCCCTTGAAAATGAATACGGAAACCAAATGAAAAACCAAACATTAAATTATCAACAAGATGCAGCTCATAGCCATCTAATAAAATTTTTAGATTAGACACTTTTACCGGTGTTGGCAACGGAGGGCGAAACAGGCTTGGGCGATCGTTCATTGGGAGATTCTCTGGCTGAACCGCGAAAATTACAGTTAACGGAACAATGTGCTCTGCTACACTTAAAACAAACGTGCTTGAAATCGCATCCTGAGCAGTAGGCTCTGTGGTGAAATTTATAGCAGAAACCCCTCGGTAAGGCAAAATCAGAGGTTTTCGCGAAGCGTTTTGCGCGGTTGGCACGTTACTTAATCTATGCGGCGAAGAATTTTGCGAACGTAACCACAATTCCCAATGAACGGTCACCCATGGAACCTGTGAGGCCTGTGTTTGGCGCAAAAAAACGAAAATTTTCGTCATAATAAAACCAATTATGGTCGCACGCTGCCAAATCTTGGACTAGTTGACAATACTTCATGAGCGCGGGGGTCTCATGTGTGTATCATTGGGTGTAAATAGATACAAATATGTGAAAAGCACGAAGCCAATCATTGATATTTTTTATTTGTTTGCCGGATTTTGCTGTCGGTTCTAAAGCAAGCGAGGCAGGCCGGCCAGCGTCCGAAGGCCACACGTTGATCTCATAACGTGCGGTTGGGTCAGGATTGCTCAGTAAAACTGGCGTTTTACCAAACTCTTCCCTCCATATTTTTTCCTTAATTTTGTCGGTAACTCGCGCATCGAGAGGCAAGCTAGTGGAATTAAAAGGCTGATTGGGGAGCAATTGTTCCGGTATAGTGAAAGGATGTGCCTGACCTGATATGTTGGAGTGGGCTTCGCCAAGTGCGCCCTGAACCAAAGCTGTTGCGTGGGCAGAAGATGAAGACTCTACCGTAGGATACGTCGAAGACGATGGCGGACAAATCCCTGGAAGAGCAGTCGAAGGGGACGGTAGGAGCGCTGAAAGCTGTTGTGTAACTGCGGCTGTTACCGATGAAACCAATGTTGTGACCAGATCATCCGGCAGCGGCGATGGGATCGCTGTTGGTGCAGGCATTGGGACAACAGGTGCTGCGGAGGCAACCTCATTCCCAGGCTCTTTCCTCTTGTGAAGCAAAGACCCTGGCTGGGGCTGGTCACGTGGCACACGAAAATTTGATCGCCCAAGGGGGAGTACGCAAAGTATCAAATTACAAGCTTCCACTTCCGCACTTTACACTTCGATTGCAAGGAGTGAGAGTGTTCTGTACAATCAACTTTGAGAATCATATGAAATTTAAATACTTGCTAAATTTGGTTCCTGTGTACTTTTAAATTATGAAAAACATGCTAAACATATTTTTATAGCAACAGACAAGTCAGGAAGTCAAGCAATAAAAACGTATGATTGTATGCTTTGAAATTGTTCTAATGTTCTCTCGAGGCCTCTGGCGCACTTTCATTTCACACGTTTCTGTTTTGCCTCTGGTTCACTTCACATATTTATAATATTCTTATAATATGCCGTTAGCGTTATTTGGAAACGGTATATTTATCTTTGAATTGATTTACTTGTTAATTTCAACACAATACTGTGGTAGGTCGTATCTCCTTTTGAGGTCTTCTCGCGCACACGCTTTATATAAATAGATACAAGCCAAATGAACATTGAATCTCTATTGATTGATTATTGATTCAAAAATTGTTTATAGACATCGCATATTTTTTTTAATAGGTTAAATTATTGTATAATTCATCGTTTGTATTAAACGCTAGGTAGTAAGGAGTGTATAAGATACAAAAAATTGTTAGGGAATCTACTGAAGTATAGAATTTAGATAACTAATATGCTTTTCCTATTTTGTCTACACGCGAGTATAGTAATGGCAAAATAGTGCACAGTATGCCCTATAATATATAATTCAATTGTCATTTATTCTCGTCTTTTATACCTTGCCCATTGGCATTGAATGCAAAAGAATAACAGCAGATATAATGGAAAAATACTTTCCTATATAAAACCTTATAACGATATAAAGTGCCTCTACACTTTCTCAGGGTCATATTTATACATAATTCATAAGTCCCACATAGACACAGCATTACTCGATAAGTTTTTATAAGCATTTTAAAGTTTCTATTGATACATCGGCTGTTTTTCTCTAGCATAGTTGGATGAAAACTTCTAAAATATGATGAAGATTGAAGTTGATATAAATATTGATTAACACAGCAGCATGATTCAGGTTGAAAAAAGCAGGATTATTCTGTTATAAAAGGCCAATTGCAATGCCAAATGCCAATAAAGGTCTTTATAAGATTTATAATGTGCCTGCTGAGATAGCTGCACGTAAAACATGATATATTAAATATACTATAAAATAAAATTAAATAAAATAAAATAAAATACTTGTGTCTGATGTTTAACTGTATGTATCGTATTATATATTATCGTTGTACCGCATAGCCATAGCACGCACGGAGAAGTCTTGGCGTAAACGAATGGCGTTCATAAGATAACCAATAGAGTTCACTGGTGAAAACAGATAGCTATACTTCGAAATAAGTCTTGCTCGTTGAGTTTCAGCAATGTCCAGAGAGCAATGTCAATGCAAGGAATTTTATAGTCCATAAGAACACGGGTTTTAATTCTGTGCTATCACAAGTCAAGATACAGTAGCATTGTTTACAAACAGTTGGCGATGTTTTGGAAACCAAAAGATCACGTTATAAAAAAATCTGTTCGAATATCGGACAGGATACACTTCAATTTAACGGCCAGATCGTTCCTTTGATCGGTCGGTGGGTGTGGAAGATATTAAAGTAGCTTCTACGATGAAGCGTGCTCAACTTCGCAAGCTGTAGGTAGCGTGTGGTGTTCTTTCCTTGCAATTGAAATATGATTCAGCTTCTTGTTTGAAATGTAACTCAACACTCATTATTGATGACATTGATATAGCAGGAAGTCGTGTCATGATAAATAGAATTTTTACTAAACAGTTTATTTCACAATTTCTTGTTGCAAATTACATTTTTATCACCAGAAACTAGAACACATAAGTTGCAATTTTCCTAACACGACAAACCACTCCTCTACCACCCTACCCATAGACACAATTTATTTTAGCATGCAGAATCTGCGTGCCACGTGACCAGCCCCAGCCAGGGTCTTTGCTTCACAAGAGGAAAGAGCCTGGGAACGAGGTTGCTGCAGAGGTTGGATGTCCAAGAACACTGTCTGGCCCACTAGTCTCACCACAGGTTGCTCGTGAACGTAAACCGCGGCGAGGTGCAACTGCTTGACGCTGTTGGTTTGCCCGAGAAGCAGTGGGAGTAGAAGCAACACGTTTTGGTTGGCGGATATAAGGCATTCTAGAAAACAAAACTCGAAAAGGCAGTATTATCCTCAGCAAAAGTTATCAATATTGCAAAGAGTGATGTACTGCACATAACGTTTTGATATTAAAAGGATAAAAATGCACACGCGCGAAAATGTATATATATGTTACAAACAGATATAAACTCATAAATCTATGAGAATGAAGTATTCCTTATAATAACGTCGGCAGTATGAGCATGGCAGATCGTAACTGATCGCCGCACCACTCATACATTATCACCAACAAAAAAGTTACAGGTTGAATGCGAAAATACACAAACCACAGTAGTGGTAAAAACCTAAGAACCCCTGGCGTAAGATAAAATACGCTGGGGAAAACAATCCTGTAACATCGTCTAATCTTATAAAGAAACCTAGTATAATCCTAGTATAATCCTAGTATAATGTAACCTATTACAACTGCCAAGGAGAAATTCACACGTAAAGAGAATTCTTCATAATTATATACATTATGTATGATTGTCAAAACTACAACATGCAGAGAGATTTAAGAATGGCGCCCCTATAACTTCTATACAAGGCGTATTGACCGATTTTGTTAAAATGAACCCATCTTGAAGAAACGGTGTTACCGATGGCCGCGCAAAACCCCGATGTAGCCAAGTAAAAACGTTCGGCATATGTTCTAACACAACGTTTAAATATTGATTGACAATAACTCGTTTTGCGTTAAAAACTGGATTACGATTGCACGGAGTTAACAAGCAAACACACACAACTTTGACGTGATACGTTTGCCGTAACAGAGAAACCAATTCCTCAAATTCAGAACGCACCACCTCGGGTGGCAAAAGGGGCAAATCATTTGTGCCAATCTCCAGGATGACGATATCTGAGGATAGGCGTGCTACTACCCCAAGATCATGATTCCGCACTTTTCTGACTGTGCGACCACCAATACCATGCATGTAAACTTGAGCTGTCCCGTTAAGTTTAAATGTTGGGGACATTCGTGCATCGTGCTGAACATGCAGATCCGACCTAAGTCAACGTACAAATGAATGACCCAAAACTAAAACTTTGGGGGGCGCCATGTATAGAATACAAAGTAGATAACTTAGATAATTAATAGTATAGGAAGTGGTCTTACCTAGTACACTTGGTCAACTTTGAATGATGTCTTTCTCAGCAGTTGTAGTCGATACTGACGATTGGCAGTGTAGATGTCCATTATATAAGGTTTGCACCACTCCTCTCACCCACATTGCATGACAATATGCATGCTCTATTTAGATATGGCGTCGTTACATAAATTCCTTATTTTCTTCGCAAATATTCAGTTATATATATACATATATATATACATATATATATATACATATACATATATACATATATATATATATATATATATATATATATATATACATATATACATATATATATACATATATACATATATATATACATATATACATATATATATACATATATACATATATATATATATATATATATATACAGGGTGTATCAAAATAAACGCAATTCATCTTTTGTGCTTAAAAACTTTCGAAATACTATTTCTAATTAAACGCTTTTAGGCTTACTTCAAAGCCTGTTCTTTTCTCTTTCAAACAAACTATTATCCTTGTCTCCAATGGTAGTAATAATTGTACAGGAAAAGATTTAGTAAAACCTATCATTTTTAGTTGCTGTTTAATTATGCAAGTTTACTATGTTATTGTTTAGTCAGTTTAAATGTTAGAATTTTCTTCTTTAAACTTTAATGTTGTCGTCACTACATCTGGAAAACCATGTAAGAACAAATTAAAAGTATTTTAAAAGAGACCACGTTGTTTGAAAATCTAAACGAATGCTAAAAATCGTCAAAACATTCTGGTGTCTGAGCCAGAGTCATCGAATTGCGATGTAATGTAAACAGAAATTATAGCAAGTTGATGTCAGTCAGTTTAGATGGTCCAAGCCAAAATTATATCGCATTTGAAGTTTCAAACTGAGTTAAAAATAGTGGAAGAAAAGCCGTAATTATACTTATTGTTACAATCCATTTAATAAAATGCAACATTTTTTTGTTTTAGTGAAAAAATCAGTTATTTTCATGAGAACGATTTGTTATTCAATCTCACTTTTTTTAATCTCCAATCGCAATAACGTAAAGTATTATTACCCGCGGACCAATGAGTCAAATTTAAGAAACAACCCACTGTTAGAACGCTGAATGGCTACGCTTTAAAATGAATGTAAACTTTAACGTTTTCGTCTATTATTTGTTTAGCAATTTACATTTCAGTCGAGGATTGCGCTTTTTTTGATACACCCTGTATATATATATATATAGATATACATATACATACATATACACATACACATATACATATACATACATACATACATACATATACATACATACATACATACATACATATACATACACATACATACATATACATACATATACATA